TCCATATAAGGATTTGTCCAGCCTTATGCAGTGCTGTTCTCGAAAATCTTTCTTATCTTTGAGCTCAATACCCTCTGGTAATCTCATATATTATCCAGTGGACTTATATAAATATGCAGGCATTACATCCATTAGCCGCAAATCTTTCTCTTTTATATAGCCAGACTTAGCAAAGATTTAAATGTCTTAGCATCCACCACAGGGGAGAATATCTCCTCTATTTCTGGTCTTTGTGTGAATCCTTGTGCGACAAGCCGTGTCTGATATATTACGCTTTCACTATGTTTATTTCACACAATCACAAAGACTCATTTGTCCCACTGGCTTTACATTGAATGGTGTCCTTTGTATTGGACCAAACACATTCTTCTTCTTAATGATTCTTAGCTCCACGTTTTATGGTCTTGTACCATTTTAATCAATCAGGTCTTTGAGTGCACTCTAGTATAGACGTGGGCTCCTGATCCTCATTCATTTCAGTTGCTACCTTGTACGCAAATATTTTATCATTGATGTCGACATCTTTTCGGTTCCATTGTATTCTAGACATGATATAGTTTATAGATATCTCTTTACACCTTCAGGACCTTGAGGTTTGGCGTCCCAAACCTCATTGATTGTACCTTAGGGTTATGTCTATTAGCTGGCTATGTCTATGGTTTCTTGAACCTTCTCGGTTTCCCTTGCACCTTTCTTTGATTTCCGAGGGTTCTTGTCTTTGGAACCTTTTAGGTCTACCACGTTTCTTACGTGTTGTAGCAACTTGATTGTGTTCCTTGTGAACATCAATACGTACTGGTGCATTACAAGCTGGTATGTACGATTTTGTTACTCTCTTTGGGTCATTATAGGAATCTTGGCAACTGTTTTAGCTAGCTTTTGCAGATATATAGTCTTTTGGATCTCTGATGGAGTCCGAGGATCTTGCCATGTGAAGGATGTTTGATTCCATGTAAGTTCTTTGACCAGCTTGTTAGTCTCTCCACCCAGTGTTGGGAAAACGGATTCATTGAGATGACAATCCTTGTATGTGGCCTTTGGCTCGAGATACTTAATGATGGTGGGAGAATCATTTTTAACGTATATTCCCATCCCCTTTTGAGGTCCCATCATTTGCTCTCTGTGGTGGTGCTATGGGTAAATAGGTGACACACCCAAATGTCTTTAGATGGGAAACGTCTGGCTCATGACCCGTTAGCAATTGGGATGGGGAATATCTATGTTCACTAAATGGCCGAATGCGTATTAATTCAACAGCGTGTAAAACTGCATGTCCCCAAGCTGAGACCGGAAGCTGCGACCTCATGAGTAATGGTCGAGCAATTAGTTGATTTCGTTTAATGAGGGATTCAGCTAATCCGTTCTGTGTATGGACATGTGCCACAGGATGTTCCACACTTACCCCCATGGCCATACAATAGTCATTAAATGCTTGGGAAGTGAATTCACCAGCATTATCTAAACGTATGGTCTTAAGAGGAAAATCTGGAAAATGGGCTCGCAATCTGATCATTTGGGCCAATAACCTAACAAACGCTTGGTTCCTAGAAGACAATAGGCAAACATGCGACCAGCGGGTCGATGCATCGATTAAAACCATGAAGTACCGAAATGTTCCACAAGGTGGATGGATCGGACCACATATGTCTCCTTGAAGTCGTTCTAGAAAATGTAAGGTCTCTTTAGACACTTTGACTGGTGAAGGTCGAGTGATAAGCTTCCCTTGTGAACAGGCTATGCACGTGTGGTGCTTAGGGGAAACTCGGTTTTCTTTAAGGGTGTGCCCTTTAGAACTTTGAATTAATTTACGCATCATATTCGAACCGGGCTGGCCAAGCCGGTCATGCCATTAGTGAATTTCTCAGTAAACCCTTATTTGTTTACTTTATTAGCCTTTATCATATTGACCTTGGCATAGTAAAGATCTATGACGCGGGTATAGTCTCTAAGACCTTCTCATGGTCTTGGGTGCTCTTAGTAATATATGGGAATCCTTTGTTCCCTTCACCCTTAGTTTCAATGTGAAAACCATTCAAACACATTTCTTTGAAACTCAACAAGCCCCCTTGAGCTAGGTGAATATGAAGCATCTGAGGATGCGTGCCCTTGGGAATATGGGCCTGCCATGGGCCTGCCCTTAGCCTTCACTAAATTTAGCTATACCCGCAATTTGGCTAATGAACCATGTCTTTAGATATTTCGTTTATTGAATTCTCATAATCATCTATCTCATGGTCGAAATCTTCTTCACCATCGTGATGAACTAAATGAGCTTCTTGATTCTTTTCAAACTCTCTTGATAGAGATCAACGAGATGCTTAGGTGTCCTGCACGTCTTAGTCCAATGGTTTCCCCATTACTCATCAGTGGCAAACAAGTTTATTTGAGTGTTGTGGTTTGGGTATACCGTGGCCTACCTCGATTACGACCAAAGTCGGGTCGGTGGCCTTAACCATATGAATGGTTTCCTTGATCATATAAATTATATTTTCCACTTCTACCACGTTCATTCCATTTACCATGACTGTGGCCATGATACTTATCTCTTTGGACGTGGTTAGACTCTTTAGTCTCTTTAGGCTCTTTAGGCTCTTCAGCCCAACGGGCTTCTGATAATGGGGTAGGACCAGGAGGTCTCATTTCACTATTTATAACTCATTGTTTTGCTCAGCAAGTAGCATATCAGAATCAATGTTCTCATCACGGTTTCTCCAAAGCCTCACTCCTTAGCACTCTCTACAGAGGAGTCCTCCCCAAAAACAAGAGTTTAGACTTGCATATGTGGTAAAAACCTTTTTCACGATATTGTTGCTGAGGCAATATATTGTTTGTGTGAAAGGTCGAGAATGCTTTCTCTAGCAAGTCATTCTCAGTAACTTCCTCATCACGGAATCTCAGTATTGACACTATTTTAAATAGTGCTGAGTTATACTCATTCATGGATTTGAATTCCTGGAATCTGAGATTCTTTCGATCGAATCGGGCTTTTGGGTAATAGCACCGTCCTGAGGTCCAGAGGATTCTTAATAGTGAGGTACTGATTTTGAGACTCTCATTGAGGTGATGGCGTATGTTAGTAATCGCCTTATATCTTTCTCTTCTGGTGACATTGTTTTCTTCCACAATAGATTCACCAAGCCCCTTTTTCCTTTAGGATAATCTCAGTGTCCAAAGCCCATTGTAAATAATTGTCACAAGAGGCATTGAGTGCCGTGTATTCATAATAGTTGATTTCTGACATCTATAATATATAGAGTTAAATGAGAACTCATGTAATCGGTTAGACCAAGTCATGCGGTATTTAAGACCGAGCCATGCTTGTCTTCAGCAAGTGTTTTCTACACAATCATGTTATATATATATGGATGAAATCAACCCTAGAAGATTGATCTAGTATGCAACAAAAAACAACCAAACAATCGGATCATACTAGATTAGGATATTATGATTTCGCGGTTAAGTTTTAGGGTTTTAGCATCCGCGATTTATAGTACTAGGGTTTTTTCTAGGGTTTTGGTTTTATGTATGGAACTTTCTATTTATGGAATCTTTCCTTATATGGAACTTTCCATTTATGGAAACTTTCTATTTCTCATCTAGAAAGAAATCCTAAACAAACGTGTACTTTAGGGTTTTGGAATATTTCCTTATGAAGGAGTTTCCTATTTTGGTAACTTTCCATTTTGGGAAACTTGCTATTTTAGGAAACCTTTTATTTTGGGAAACTTGCTATTTTACGAAACTTTCTATTTCTGTAAACTTTCTTTATATGGAACTTTCTATTTCTGGAAACTTTCCATTTATAGGAAGCTTGATCTTAAACCGTGACTTAGGGTTTATTAAACCGGTTTAACCTAGGATTTAGGGTTTCGGTTTACTTTCGGTTTAACCTAGGGTTTATATTAAAACATTCAATCTATCATGCCATTAAACATCTTTCCATTCACTAACTTCTCAATTAATTCTCCAATCATAAATCAAATCACATGTGCCAATTTTCATGCAAATTTTATCTTATCAAACTTTAATTGGATCATGTATATAAAGCATAATAAATAAATAGCACTTATCTTAATTAGAGAACTGAAACAGAGACCCGAGATCTGATACGGAGATTGGAAACAGTTATGTCTCTTAGCTGGTTGGGACCTCGTACAAAATCTCAATATATATAATCCTGATTCCTGAGAAACTCAAAATTTTGCTCATGGAAACATGGCTATTACATTAGTAAAAAGAAAAAAAATAGGGTTTCTGTAATATACTGCATAAAACAGTTCAGAATCAATAACATATAATCCGTGCATAAATCGTACAAAATATAGACAGGATTTATAATAAATAATCCATGCAAAATTTGTGCAAATCTACAGACATAATTGACAACAGATAATCTGTGCAAAATTCATGCAGAAATACAGATAAAATTGATAACATATAATCCGTGCAAAATTCGTGCAAAACTACAGACAGAATTAACAACAGATAATCTGTGCAAAATTCGTGCAGAAATACAGACAAAATTGATAACATATAATCCGTGCAAAATTCGTGCAAAACTACAGACAGAATAGATAACAGATCATCTGTGCAAAGTTCGTGCAGAAATACAGACAGGATTGATAACAGATAATCCGTGCAAAATTCGTGCAGAAACAAATATGAACAGAAAACTTATCTCGATAGAGTTTAGAATTTTGTTTGCAGAGACGGCTAGAGTTTTGGTTTTGGTTTTTGTGAGAGAGATTTAGGGTTTCGGAATTTTTAATTTTTAGGGTGAAAGGCTATCGTGCTGATAACGTGTTGTGAACTGTGTCCTCTCATTAATAGAATAAAGGATATATATACAATGATAATAGCAGGATACATAGAATAAGGTAAAACCCTAATGGGCCATGGGCCGGTTATGGAGTCCATCCATATGGTTTATAACATTTCCAGATTTTATTTTCCTTTTTGGTGTAAATTAATTAAGGGAGATTTTTATTAATATACTAAATTATATAAGAAATTTGAAAATTACACTAAGTATTATAGTAATTTGAATACTACTCATTTTATATTGAAATTATACCCTTTTTATTTATTTAATATATTAGCTAAGACTTCCCCAAATTCTTAGATTTCATTTTCACCTAGGGTTTTGCTAAGCTTGGTGGCGAAGTAATTATGAGAATTGATCTGTCTGTTCCAAAGTTGAGGGCAGAGTTAGAACTCAACAAGGTTCTCGGAAAAGGTTCGTCCGGTTCGGTGAGTCTCATCAAGTACAATGGACGCCGCGACGGTGAAACGCTTTACGCCGCCGTGAAAACCTCCAACATCATTCACGCTGACACTCTCTACAAAGAGTTTCAGATCTTGTCCGAATTCAAAGGATGTTCAAGAATCGTCCAATGCTATGGGACCAAAGTAGAAGAGAGAATCACCGACGACGGTGACGTAGAGTTCAAGATTCACATGGAGTACGCATCTGGAGGAAGCTTGAGAAATTTTATGAGCAGATTCAAGGAAATGAAATTGCCTGATCCTTTGATCAGAAGGTTTACGCGTATGATTCTTGAGGGTTTAGCAGTTATTCATGGACACGGCTATGTTCACTGCGATCTCAAACCCGAAAACATCCTCGTTTTCCCGAGTTTCGAGTTAAAGATTTCTGATTTCGGGTTGTCCAAAAGAGAGGGAGATAACAACTGGTGGCTTCCTAGTCATCCTTTTGCGGGAACACCGATATATATGTCGCCGGAATCCATTTCTACGGGCGAGACAAGGAGAGGTTTGGATTTATGGTCGTTAGGATGTGTGGTGTTGGAGATGTACACTGGGAATAGAGACCATGGTGGGATAAAAACTATGACTTGGAAGATCTCAAGAAAGGTTACATGCCATTGATTCCGAAAGATATTCCTTGTGATGCAAAACTCTTTGTGATGAGTTGTTTTGCGGCGGAGACTGACAAGAGAAAAAACGCTTTCACATTGTTGAGGCATTGCTTCTTGCGTGGAGATGTTAATAAGATCATAGAGCCTCTCGTGATGAAGAATGAGAATTCTAATGATATAGCACTAGAGTTGGAGAAAATTGAGCTCAGGTTTTCGCAACTTAGGTGTATTAGTGGTGAATAGACTCGTGGAATATAATTGAAAAGTCGATGAGTCTAGCTAGACCCTGCAGGAGACCTAATTTTGCTCTTTATTTTTCTTTGTACTGTTCTCTAAAGGAGGGCTATTACCCCACTCTGGTCTTGGTTGCAAATGTTGCGGTTCTTTGTACTGTTCTCTAAAGAATTCAAGTTTCAACTATACAATATCCATATATATCCGAAGATCAAAATGCTTTTTAGCTAACTTTATATAAAAGTACAATTGTTCATCACGGTTTGAAATGTTGAACTTGCAATTGTATTTAATCGATTTTAGCTGTATTTATTTTACACAAATTTTGTCAACCACTCATTTGCACATTTGTTTTGTATGGTCCAGATAATTTTACTAAGATATTACATGAACCTGTCATGTGATTTTGGCACTTTCCAAACCCAAATGTGCAATGAATAAAAAAAACCAAACCAAATTCACATAAAACATTAATATTACACATTCACGAGTTTACAAAGCACAGAGATTATGAAGCAAATACATAAGATAATTACTTTCCGGGGACAAAGTTAGTAGCGTAAGACCAGGCGTTGTTAGCCACAGGATCAGCCAAATGATCAAACAAGTTCTCAATGGGACCTTTACCAGTAACAATGGCTTGGACAAAGAATCCAAACATAGAGAACATGGCAAGACGACCGTTCTTGAGCTCCTTCACCTTCAGCTCAGAGAAGGCCTCTGGATCCTCTGCCAAGTTCAATGGGTCAAACGCACCTCCTGGGTAAAGTGGGTCAAGCCCTTCTCCGAGTGGTCCACCTCCGATTCTGTAACCTTCAATGAAACCCATGAGCACAACTTGAACAGCCCAGATGGCTAAGATGCTTTGCGCGTGGATCAAGTTAGGGTTTCCAAGGTAATCAAGACCTCCTTCTGAGAAGATCTGAGAACCTGCCTTGAACCACACGGCTTCTCCGAATTTAACACCGTTCTTGGAGAGAATCTCAGGGAATGTGCATCCAAGAGCACCCAACATAGCCCATCTGCTGTGGATTACTTCAAGCTCACGGTTCTTAGCGAATGTCTCCGGGTCAGCCGAGAGTCCAGCGGTGTCCCAGCCGTAGTCTCCGGGGTATTCTCCGGTTAAGTACGACGGTGTGTTCTCCGAGAATGGACCCAAGTACTTGGGACGGTCTGGTCCATACCTGTTACAACATGAATTTGGTGATTAGACAGATCTAAGGATAGATTAAGTTAGAGGGAGAAAGAGTGGATTTGGTACCAGATGCTTTGAGGAGTAGACTTGACGGTACGACGCATGGTCACACGGCCACCACCGGAAACACCAGCCTTGCGGAGGAGGTCGTTGGAGGGCTTGAGGGCCGTTTGGCCGGCGAAGGAGGATTGCTGGATAGCTGATGTTGCCATTATCGTAATCTTTTCTTAAACTACAATGAAAGGAAAGGAGATAAGAGAGAGTGTTGAGTTATGGTGAGATGGTGAAACCAATTGTGTTTTATAACAGAGAAGGTGTTCATGTTAGGGGATTACCAAATGTACACGTCAGTGAGTTCTGATTGGTTGAAACAGTTTAATTGAGATTTTTGAGATTTCCTTGGTCCTATAAGAGATTGGTAATGGCTGTGGTGGTGCCATCTGGCAGTTGAAGATCTTGTGGTTTCAAATGAGAGACTCTGATTTTTTATTGGATTCTTTGTGATGATGATATCTCATATCTTGCTTGGATTGTGTTTCTTTATCTTTTATTTTAAACCGTGGTTAGTACTGATTTTTACTTTTTACATAATTTATGTTTGGTTCGGTTATTCAATTTTTGGATCTATGTTTTTTTCAGCAAATTTTTGGGTCTACAGTATTTAAAGGAAAAATATCACTCCCTCTGTCCCAATTTATTAGATGTTTTGTGTAAAAACACAAGATTAAGAAATAATTAATGTTTAATTTTTTTATAGGAATTCAGCCAATAGAAAAAAAGACTGCATAATTTAAATGGTCATAACATACTAAATAAACATAAATATGCATAGAAATCTGGGAAAATCTTATAAAATGGAACAAGAAAAAAATGCTAAAATATCCTATAATTTGAGACATATGGAGTAGTATAAAACAATGGGTTGGTTTGATACAGTATTGGGGTTTTAATCTTAAAAAAAAAGGTTAGGTCCAATATTTTTGACAGTACCATTTGACCAACTTTATTGGTTATCCTTCAATAAGTGTCTCAAACATAAATTAATATTAATGTTTAAAGACATCCTACTTTTTTTGGATCTAAAATGTCTTTACAGAGACACAAATTCTACTGTTCAAAGACATATCTTCTTCTTTTTTCTCATACACAAATTCTACTGTTCAAAGACATATCTTCTTCTTTTTTCTCATCTTTTATTATTTTTATATTTTAAAAACACCCCATTTTTTGACCAATGGAGGTGCTCTAAGAGCACCCCATTTTATGTCCTAATATATCACTTCATTGTCATTTAGTCATTTACCAAATGAACTCCAAAACTTTCTAAGCCACAAAATCGTTCAATTTGTTTTGAGAATTGAAACAGTTAGCGGTTATCTTTTGGTTTGGGACAAATTGGTTTTTAAATAACCTAGATCGGCCATGGTTCTGTGCTGTCGTTTGACTGGTTTGGCCGAAAGGTTTAGCTCAGGTCTTATAATTTATAAACATTGTTTGACCGGATTTAACATTGTCCGAGGGAAACATTGGCCACATGTTCATTTACCAAACAAGGTTTCAGTGAAACTCAAAATCTTACAAACATCTCAGTCCAAATAAGTAACTCATAAAGTAAAGGTGCAATGCAGTCTTCAACTAAAAACCATTTACATTGTCAATTTTACTTAAAAAAGAAAATTTAACTACTCCATTGGAGATGCGAACTCTTCTGCTACAATACCCTCTTCTTCTACACAACCCAGCATGATTGCGGTTAGCATAAGTTTCCCCGCCTCAGCGAAATCTTTGTGGCTCATCAACACGTCCTCTACGGAAGAAGTTGAATCCTCAGGGTTCTCTCGTCTCAGGGGAAGGACTTGTGCAAAATCTCCATCAAAAGAGTTGATTCGGGTTGGTCCGTAACATCTTTTGGAAGCCTGGAAAAGGGCTGTGTTCCTTAGATTCTGTAATGTTTCTTTCTCGCTCCAACCTTCATTAGTAGAGGCTTGATGGAGCCTGTCCCAGTCGTCTTGATCCGCAGCATTTCTCCAGCATTCTTCTAAGAGACTCTTATGATTATCACAGAATGAACCGCTCGTCCATGCAAACACCTCGAAAGCCTTTATAGCCGTCCATCGGCCCTGGATATTGAGACAGATTTCAATGAGCTCCTCTGGTCGGAACAGCCGGTTTCTTGCTTCTCCATTTGGCAAAGCTTTTGTTATTTCTTCCTGCCAGATATTACGGTTTCACCGGTTATAGAGAGTATTTACAAAGCTGATTTTACCATCGTGCTATACAGGATAAATATTAACACAGCTGAGAATCTACCTGCAGCTTCAGTAAGTTGAGATCAGCTTCAATGCGCTTCACTTTCGATTCGGAATCAGCATCCTTGTCTGCAATGCGATAATTATCATGAATTTCAGAAAGAATGACAAAAAACCAAGGAAAATCAACTATTATACCTGCCACATAGGCTATCTTTGAAAGGTTCAGAAACCGCTTGCGGTCTGCGAATGTTGGTTGTGCATCTTCAGGTTCTGGCACGGTTCTTTCTTCATTAGTTGTCATAGACTCTTCATCTTGTGCTAGAGCCAATGTATGAAGAGTGTCAGAAGCAGATGAGAACTGATGAAGAAACACCTGATGAAGCCACAGCAGATCAGAATGGCGCTTTAGAAATATCAATAGCTCGTCCTGGAATTCTTCCCCAAGCCGTAGAAGCTTAGAGAACTGTTTCATATCATAGAGTTCCTGGAACACAAAGTAACTGAACCCTCCTTGCGGTCCCACACCTTCGTGCTGCACATGAATTTAAGGGTATTAACTAAGCAGGAACACAGAAAAGAAGTAAGACAAGGTAAAGGAAGGAATGATTGATTCTAGCGCTAAACAAGAGTGAAAGATGTCCAAAAGCTGCCAAACACAAAAATCAGACAACAAATTGTCTTGCTGTGCAATCTCAAGACTCAAGAGTATAGCAAAACAACTAGAAGAAATCTAATGCGTTTGAGATTACTAGAGGAACAGGGAAAGAAGAAACCTGAGCACACATACCATCAGGTTTCTGAGCAGTCCTGTATCATTAAGATCATAACATATCTTCCACATAATTTTATAGCCTGCATGTCGCTTTGCAATGGAAATCAAATTTGAACAACGGTTTCTGAAGATATCTTCATCTGTCGTTTCAGTTCTTTCTCTGATGCCCTACAGATACAAAACCAAATCATGGTGTGATTTAATACAAAAATGATATGCAGTGCACCACATGCAAAGAAGTGCTAACCTGGATTTCTGCTTCCATAAACTCTTTCGCTTGTTGATACAGAGAGTCAAAAATAGTATCCCGCCGAGTCCAGTACTCACTAAGCAAACCTTTGTTCTCCTCTTCCCTCTCCAATTTTGCAAAGGTAGAACCGGCACAGGCCTCAAGTAAAACTTCAGTAAGCACTTCGAGATGCATGTATATATCTGATTTAGCAGAGATGTCAATCCTAGATGCCTCAGTTAACAGATGAAGCATAAAGGACGCAATGCACCACAGTCCATTACATACAACAGGCTGACAGTGCCAAGGTATTAAACCTTCAAGTGGTGGATACCACATTTGATGCTCATTTTTGTAATCTAAGGCAGTCTGAAGAATTGTAACACATGCATTTGAGAGTTCGCAGGCTCTCTGCACTTGAGTTCCCAGTGGTTGGTCAGCTCTGATTATGTATTCTAGTTGCCTGTTCAGACAATAAAACACTTCCTCAAGTTCAGATACCTTGCTGTAGAAAACTTCAGCATTATCTCTGTCCATCAAAAGAACTGTATTTCGCCGGGCTCTCTCCCCTACAAATTGAATAAGATCCCAAAGGGCACATGAAACTTGATCCTCTGAGCCAGCCTGCGGCGAGCCAAATCTAGCTGAGCGGTTCTGGTTAATCATATTCTGCAGTTCCCGGAGTTGAATCATGGCAGCAAGTTTTTCACCATTTTCCAGAATTATTTGCAAAGAATGTCCTGCCATAAAAGAGATGCATTAGCTCAGAGGTCCATTTTTATGCCAACCAGAATAATTTAACAATTCACGAAGTCCTTTTTATAAACTACTATCCAGTTGGGGGAGAAATTACTTATGAATTAGAGATTCATCTTCAAGCATTAAAATTCTGGTTTTGACTAAGTATGCAATAATGTAGTAGAATCATGCTACAGTAAGAAGAAAAAACCAGTGAGAGATAAAAGTGAATACTCTGTTTAGAACACAGCTCCTCATGGCATTTCGATAGAGCAAGAAAGTGTAGAAAATTCTCATGCTTCTGTTGTTTCTCAACCAATTGTGAAGATATAACAGTCATAGCTACTATCTCAGCCCCTCTAGTTGTTGTCCAATGCTTAGCTAATGTGTCGACTATAGATTTGCTTTTGCGAGCAAAAACATTGGTTTCTCCATCTCTATCAA